TGAATGACAGACAACTGATTGACTGAATGACAGACAGACAAGCAACTGATTGACTCAATAACAGACAGCCAACTGTTTGACTGAATGACAGACAGACAGACAACTGATTGACTGAGTGAAAAACCTGTAGACAGTCAAGTGATGGACTGAATGACAGACAGACAGCCAACAGATTGACTGAATGACAGACATACAGCCAACTAATTGACTAAATAACAGATAGACAGCCAACTGATTGACTGAATGACAGACAGACAGCCAACAGATTGACTGAATGACAGACATACAGCCAACAGATTGACTGAATGACAGAAAGACAGCCAACTGATTGACTCCATAACAAACAGAAAGCCAACTGATTGACTGAATGACAGACAGACAGCCAACTGATTGACTGAATGACAGAAAGACATCCAACTGATTGACTCGATAACAAACAGAAAGCCAACTGGTTGACTGAATGACAGAAAGACAGCCAACTGATTGACTCCATAACAAACAGAAAGCCAACTGGTTGACTGAATGACAGACAGACAGCCAACTGATTGACTCSATAACAAACAGAAAGCCAACTGATTGACTGATTGACAGACAGACAGTCAACTGATTGACTCAATAACAGACAGCCAACTGTTTGACTGAATGACAGATAGACAGCCAACTGTGACTGAATAACAGACAGCCAACTGATAGACTCAATAACAGACAGCCAACTATTTGACTGAATGACAGAAAGACAGCCAACTGTTTGACTGAATGACAGACAGACAACCAACTGATTGACTGAATGACAGACATACAGCCAACTGATTGACTGAATGACAGACATACAGCCAACTTATTGACTAAATGACAGAGAGACAGCTAACTGATTGACTGAATAACAGACAGACAAGCAGCTGATTGACCGAATAACAGACAGACAAGCAGCTGATTGACTGAATAACAGCCAACTGATTGACTGATTGACAGATAGACAGCTAACTGATCAAAATTGATTAACCAACTGACTCACCATCATCATCTCTCATCATGCCAGAATTTGCATAAGGCCGACCAACTATTAACTAGACACTGATATTTAACCAACTGAATAACTTAATTACATCAAATTTATAATTGATATAAGGACAAACAATGTTTTGACCTGCTAATTGTTTGACAGTCTATCTACTGATTGCCTACAAGCTCAGTACTACTGAACCAAATAGACCTTAATCACTAATGCTTAAGGCTGCTAGACCTACAGCTACTGACTCTAATTAACATATCAATGGTAAACTAACAATACAGCAAGTTTACAGTGTGACTACGCCAACCAAGGCCACCCAGACAAATATTTATTCAAATTAGCCAATCATGATGGAGTATTCATACAATAGAATTTGAACAAATTTTCACCTTTTTTCGTTTCAAATGCATATATCTTATTTTATAACACTAGTTGGTGTTTGCACAAACATTAGCATTGTGATGTCAATTTGCCAACCATTGTCACAATAGTTCTTGCCAAGTTGCTTTGTTTCATCGAATTGATCATAATGACAATAGCTAACGTCACAGCAACTATCGTTATGTGTGTGTGTATAATCACGAGGTTTCATCAGGAGTGAACTAGAACATTCTAAACTCCAGATTTCATCACCATCTTGTTATTCAGAATCAAAAACATGATTTGTGAATTATTGATTTAAAATTTGTCTGGGTGGCTTTGGCTAATATTGTTGCAATATAACGACCCTTACCACAGTATGGAGTTGGCTCTGCCATTAAATATTAATGCTGATTCTTAGTGACTGAATGACGAAGTGCCTGCAACAGACATATATGTTAGTGGTACTGATAAAATGACTCAAGGTGAAACATTCTTCAATTTCTACCTAAATTTATATTTTTATACTCTTCTTCAATTTTTAACATTTGCAAAACTTTTCATAGGTCAAGTTTTTGATGGACCATTAATTATACCAACTGTTGATTTTATAAAGTATCACGTTTTATTTGATTTGTTATTCATGAGATACGATTACTAACCTACAGAAACATTTACACATTGGTGAATAGAGAAATTCTAATCACATGTTGACAATTTTTAGACTGACAAATCTAAAATAACATTTACATGTCTGCCTAAGTGGCCAATACACATGTTGACAAAGATTTTACTGACTAACTAATACTAATGTCAACACACATAATAACTAATCAATTTACATGTTGACCTGAAGACTGACCGACAATTACAAATATTGACCCAAAGACTGACTGGCAATTACACATGTTGACCCACAGACAGACTGACAATTATTACACATGCTGACCAATAGACTGATTGACAATTACACATGTTGACCCGCAGACTGCCTGACAATTACACATGTTGACCCACAGACAGACTGACAATTACAAATGTTGACACACAGACTGACTGACAATCACACATGTTGATCCATTGTCTGACTGACAATTACACATGTTGACCCCTACACTGACAATTACACATGCTGACCCACAGACTGACTGACAATTACACATGTTGGCCTACAGACAGACTGACAATTACACATGTTGGCCCACAGACTAACTGACAATTACACGTGTTGACCCACAGAAAGACTGACAGACTGACCCACAGACACACTGACAGTTACACATGTTGACCCACAGACAGACACATTTACACATGTTGACCCACAGACAGACTGACAATTACACATGTTGACCCACAGACAGACTGACAGTTTAACATGTTGACCCACAGACAGACTGACAATTA